ATCTCATTATTTTATGCATAAAAGTATAATATTAAGGTATAGTTGACAAAAAATGAATATTTTATGAAATATTTTATATGTTTATATGTAAGTAAATGTTAATATAATGCATACCTGTTTCTTCTGAATCCTCTGCTTTGACAGAGTAGCAGAAAATATTTTTAAAATATTTCGGTATTTATTTTTCTTCCCCTTTTTAATTCTGTAATCTTTGACTCAATTGGATGGTCCTAAAATTGAAGCTGCCGATCATGTAAATTAAAATTTATTTTACACCAAGTCTTCAAATCTTATTAGAATTACATTTTTTATAAATCTAAGTTTATTTCTTATGCAGCTTGTAAACTTTTGCACTATATAAATGGAGATAATGAAAACTAAAATGTTTCTTAAATGTTTACATTATTATACTTGCATTTCTCTGACAAAGAAATACCTTATAACAGAAACGTTTTAAAATATTTTTTCTTCTTTTAGATCTACGGATCACAATTATATATGTTATCTCCATTTATATTATAATAAGAGAATTAAGTTTACAAGTCTCTGTACTGCAGTGTAAAAAATTGATAATCAACGATGATTATACGATCATTTATACCGTAGGCATACACATTTACGACAATTTTTTTTGCGTTTTTTAATAATAAATATATTTATCACTCTATCGGAAATAATTGTGAGAAATGCTCAGAGTTGAAATTCTGTACACGCTGTACCGATGGTTGTCGATGTCATTGCGCAGCGTTTTTATCTATAAGAAGAGTTGTGTAACGACACTGACAACCATTGGTAACATGTACAGACTCCCAGATCGTTTAACGTTACATCCTTTAAGCAATTTTAGGCAATAAACACCTAATATATATATATATATATTTGCTGTGTGGCTTGTGCAATTAAGAATAATGTAACCTAACCACTATGTTTATAGGTTACGTTATTCTTAATTGCACAAGCCACACAGCAAATATTAAGTGTTTATTGTCTAAAAGGTGTAACGTTAAACGACCTGAGCATTTGTCCTAACTATTTCCGATAGAGTGACAAATTAATTTATTAATTTACGCTTAAAAATCAACGTAAAAATGTGTATGCGCCTACCCGCGCATACTCATGATCGTATATCATCGTTGCACATCAATACTCAATATTATTATTAATTGTATCAAAACTTTAATGTGCAACAGTGCAGCGTTTTCTTAAAAAAAAAAACGTTCTTTATAATTAAAAAGAATTAAAAAGGCTTACCTTTCGAGATAAAAATTACTCCTGAATTTCACGCACGTGCTTGATCTCCTATGGATACTCGCCGGAAAAAGACCGAACTTCAACCGGAAATATGTAAAGTCGATCGTTGCGCTATATTGGCTCCTATTATACTGTACACACTGGACGCGAAAACGCTTGCCGCGCGGCAAAACACAACGCGCGGTAGTTAATGAACGTATATGGATGTTAAAGAGTCCCTCATAATTTAAATTAATGTTATATATATGATATCAATGTTGTAAATATATATTAATGCTTATTTTACTTAAAAATGATATATAAATTGTAGATTTATATGTTAAATTATTCATGCAGCTAGCAATTGAATGAAAAATATAAACAGCTTGAAAGATTACAATTATTATATTTATATGTTTTCCGATTTACGTCTATGTCACATTATGTTTTTAAATAACTGTTACAAGTTATATATGTAACAAAGATATACAACTTTGTTCTTCTAACGTGCTCTGAAAGTTACGTAAAATTTACATCTCATTTACATAATTGTGAAATATAACATTGTTCTTTCTATGTGCTCCTTAAGTTATGTAACAGTTACGTATTGGTTTGCTGGGTATGTATGTATGTATTCATGTTAATCGAAAACATTTTTTATTATGTAATAATAAAATATTTTGTATTTTAGAAAATCAATCATGCGGTGCGGAAGGCGGTTGCAAAAGAGCGGCGGAAGAACAATCAAAAAAATATCCCAGCGGCCACGCGCATACGAATCGAATTGAATTTTGCGATATATGCAAGCACCATCGCCGCCGTCAGGATACGTGACACCATATATCCCAGCGCCGTCGCCGCTGGGATACATCCCTTCGCCAGGATACGCATACGCTGCAGCATCGTCGCCACCACCGGGATTTATTCCGGCGGCGGGTTACGTTCCGCCGACGGGTTACGTTCCGCCGACGGGATACGTTCCACCGACGGGATACGTCCCGTTGCCGTCGGGGTACGTCCCGTTGCCGCCAGGATACATACCGCCGGGATACGTGCCGGGGAAATAAATAAAAAAACAAACATGTATAAATATTAATAAATATATTTATATATATATATTGTAATTATGGCTCCCCGTCTCTTTTCCCCTTCTTCAAAATGTTATTATTTAACTCCAGCTAGTTCCTGTAGCCGAGCGAGTAAAGCGCGTGATTAGAATATAGGATGTTCTACGTTACAGTCCTACTCTTATTTTTCGTAATTTTTTTTATTCAAGTAATAGGTGAAACATTTTAATATAATTTTTTAAATTATTCGTGTACGTTTCATGTAGGAGAAATACTTGCATATATTTAAATTATGTTGGCATCCTTACAAAGTATAAAATTATAGCTTTTGTTCCTAATTGTTACAATTTTTACATACATTCAGATGATAGTTATTAGCGAATAAGATTTTAATGCAATGATATTATATACATATTTTATATATTTGATTAATAATATTATATCAAATATATATATCATTGCATTAAAATCTCGTTCGCTAAATAACTATCATCCGAATAAATGTAAAAATTGTAACAATTAGGAACAAAAGCAATAATTTTATACTTTGTAAGGATGCCAACTTAATTAAAAAATATTCCTAGTATTTCTCCTACATGAAAAACACGAATAATTTCAATAATTATATTAAAATATGTTTCGCCTATTACTAATAAAAAAATTACGAAAAAAGAGCAGGACTCGAACATGAAACATACAGTCACGTACGTTCTAGTCACGCGCTTTACTCGCTCGACCACACGAACTAGATGTATCTCAGGTTTAT